TCCAACAATGGAATCGTGCCAGGATAAGGAACACAGGTGCCCCCAACAATGTCTTAGCGTTGCTGACCGGCCGTACAGGCTGAACGCGGCGATAATGCGACTTCCTTCTCCCTCGAGCTCACTAACCGTGGTGCAGGGAACCTGTCGTTAAACTGCGGCGTGCGCTGACCCCCAGCACGCCCAACGACCTCGAGAGAGGCGCCTGGACCCGGTGGGTGTCACACTTTACCCCCATCGTTGACGCTTTCCGGGTTCGAATGGTCGGTCGTTTGCAGCGGATCAACGGCTTGGGTCTAACCCGCGATAGGATCAGAAGCTGCTCAGCAGTGTTCAGGCTTTACTGATGTTCGTTCCCCCTGCCAGTCAACATACGAGCTTCGTTGACATGTACCCCAGACAATCTTCCCCCTGTGAAAGGAATAACAAGTTCTCGGCCAATAGCCCACGCTCATGTACTGACCGTGGACTATATCATTTACCTTCTATTTATTCGCGGAGATCGATTGTGATTCTGACCTCAGTGCGCCAAATCTCAGGCTTCAGAGCGCACAATTGCGGTCCCCAAAAACCTCTGAAGACTAGTACAAGCTCGAAGAAGGCTGCTGGGCACCCAGAGATCCGTTGCGCAGAACGGCCGCGGCAGGTGGCTGGGCTCTCGTTGATGTTGGTTCGAGGTTTGTCGTCCTGCTCAATTTCCATCGGGATGCTCGATACTTGTGACATTCTGGACCGCGACTGGTCGAAGACACAGACCGCGTGGGCTTGAGCGCAAGGTTCCGATTCCTGAGATCGGGGCGAGCCTTGAAAGGACATTCATCCACGCCGAACCTTCTCCCAGCTGCAGTCGCTTATGAAGGAGCCACTCAGAAATGAAGCAGCCAATGCAATCAAGGTCATTCCCTCTCCTATCTGCTCCACTTGGTCTACGGTGGGACTCATCTGCTTTGAGAATCCTCCCAACCAGCAGGGGGTGACATATTCTTGCACTGGCCAGTAGGTTCTGTTACCCTGGGCGGGCTGCAATCATAACGGTCTTCAGTTCCCTCTGTCACAGCCTGCTAACGACCAGAACTATCCCACCAGCGATCTTCGTACAGTCACCAGTTTCTTGAATCATCGGCGGTCGGTGGACTGAATGCGGAGATAAACTGCAGCGCACTCTCGTGTAGTGAGGAGGGTCATGAGACAGGCACCACCGCCAATCCCAGCAATCGGTCAGTCAAGAACCATCCTTACGGTCAAGACGATACAAACGTCGTCGTTCTTTCCGGTTTCTGCAAAGTTCACGGTCCTCCAACGTCCGCCGGGCCACGAATGGATCATGCGAAAATTCCAGAAATAAATCCAACGATTTTCTGCAGCTTGCGAATAGATCGGTCGCTCTGCAAGATTGAGCGCCAACGGAAGGCACTGAGTTGGGGACGATGTAGCCAACCATTGGAGGAGCTCCGGAAGTACACGGAAGGGTGACGATCACAGGTTTCTGAGGATGGACGAAGCAGTGGTGGGTGGGAACTGCCGGACGGTCGCCCAAGCGTCCGTGAGGGCGATGAAAGATCTCTGCGAATACGATGCGGCAGCCGCTCCGTCCTTTCCGCTCCAGATCCTGAGGCTCGTACCGGAAGCGCTCTTGACGTCTGGGAGACGCTGACCGCCACAAGTCGAGGTTGCATGCAGTGTGGATCCCCAGGTTGAACGGCTCCACTCTCGCAGTGACGCTCATACCTTGATCAGGAGACCTCGTTCCTAGCAGCTGCCGTTGCAGGCACACAGCGTGAGTGGCCTGCCCCTCCCCGACTAACTCAGGCTCTTAGAGGAATCACGACACACCCCTCGATAATCATGAACTTCCGCCGAGTTTCCGGCTTTCCACTCAAGGGGTCTCGGTGTCGATGTCGGTCACAGGGGATGCCGTTGGAAGACACGGGCTGGAATTGGCGCGCGTAGCGAGGGCGACCGCGAGGCTAACCAGCCCTCGGCCGCCGGCGAGTATCGGCTTCGATCACTCACACATAGCTTCGTTCTCATGGTATCGCAACACTGACCTCGGTCACGACTCACAATCCAGGCAGAACAGCGGAGAATGCCAAAGGCGTACGGTTCAAGCGAGAGCGGAGGCAATGCTGCGGCGGAAATACAGATGAGTGGGATGTACGTTGTCGCCGAGATACCCTGCGGGGTCGGGCATCGAAGGGCGGAGGTGAGTCAGTGAGGGTAGGTCGAGCTGGACTGAGGAAACGCAGACGTCGCACCGTGCGATGTTCCACATCTTCTCCTCGCCTAACCTGGCGGCTCCGCAAGCGCCGGGTACACCACATTGATGCGTAGTTGCTAGCCACCACGGCAGTCTCAGCACGCTCTCTGACAGCCACCGCATAGACACGTCACCAATTGGCTCCTATCAGGGCTGCAGGACTGCAGGGTCGACGAGACACCCGGTCTTTGTGCCGCAGCCGCCTCACGGCTCCGCCCTTCGGATGCAGATGCTCCCTAACCTCGGTGTTATCCAGGTAGTACTGAGCAAGACGTGCACAGTCGATGTGTGCTCCCATGGGTTAGCTCCTGGACGTCTCGCGTCTCAGGTGTATTGTGAGGGTCACAACAATGGTGCTCGCTGAATCGGCTAATGAGCTGGCATTTCTTGGCGTTCCCTCTGAGCTTTGTGAGTCACAACGCCGAAAACCGTGAAAATAGCTGTAAAATTGGTTACTGACGAGGTGTGTTCACCATCGTGGCTACTGGGATGGTGCAGCTGCTGGAGGACCTTGGGTGCAAGAGTGCACTGTTGAGAAAGGCTGAAAACAGGTACGCTCGGTTTGTAAAAAACGGCGTGACCGGTATACCGGAGTACGCAGTGAAACATGTCGGATGTACGGAGATCAGGTAAAACAGCGGTTAAACGTCTCGTCACCATACCATGGAATCGGCGTGAGCGTCGGTTCTTCGTCCTGGGAGACGAGAGACATCGTTCGTCGACACAACGTGCATTGTCCCATACGCTTCATCTTCACAGGCAGCCTTATGACACCGACCTCTTCTACGAGACGGACCACGACAAATCGGCACCCTGCGACGAAGGGAGACCTTTGGGCGTGTAGGGTGAACAAGTGGTACATTGAGAACGGTGGAGCGACTCAGAGCCTTCGTCTACCCCGCCATTCGCATCCTTGAAGGTGCCTTCAGGCGGCGTCCGGGGCCCTTTCATCCTGGAGAGGTCCCCTGTCCGGAACATACAAGGCAGGGGGTTAAGTTCACAGGGCTGGGCGTCTTTGGCTTCATGCTGCGGTGGTCTTAGCCGGATGACCCGTAACCTCTTGAGTCTGCTCAAATGACCTATATGCTTTTCTCCGGCGATAGCAGGCATGTCAGTGGAAGCCACCATTGTTGCTATCCACATTGACGCCTCAGCTCCGACTTCGAAGAACTGTCGACAGGCAACTGACTACTGAAATCTCAACGTCCACCGTGGCTGACGCCTCAACGCCACCGGAGAATTGTAGGCGAAGGCCCTTCCCTCCCTCACTATGTTGACCTTTCACTCCGGAGCGGCACTGGGTCCTGCTCTCCGCTCAACGCTACCAATGCAATCGAGATTGCAGCGCCGTGTGTGATCGAGATTGCAGCGCCGTTCCGTGTGTGATGGGGAAGGGGGTTTAGCGGGCACGATGCCGCCTCAGACAGGCACTGCTGGCCAGGCTATCTCGGCTCTATGTGGTAAGCCATCACCCACCCACAGGCGTTGAGAATCGTCCCTCGCACCGCTGTAGTGGGCTCTGTGCAATTTCGGATGTTTACTGATCCGACACAGAATCAGGAGTAGAGCGGCTCCGGAGTTAATATATCTGCTCGGTCCCAAATCTTGCGCGAACCTACAGTACCGATCTGCGCAAAACGTCTGATGGTTTGGACTCTCTTATACCACCGATCGGCCGTACCGCATCGACACTTCACAGCAACGAGCGGACAAATGGACAGCGATCGGCCAGGGCCCAACCTCGAACCCCTCGGCAGACAGTCATGCAAGGCTTGGGAACAAACTGTCCACACGCGTATCTCTGCGCGGGCGAGCGGCGAACAGCGGCGGCGCTATCCTCAGGCGCATCAGACAGGGTTCGCCGACCGCCTCCAGTTGACAGATCAGAACACATCCGCTGAACGTTTTCAAATAGGACGTTACGATCACATTCGGTCGCCTGGCGACATGGACATGGACGGGCCGAATTCCGCGTCTATCGAAAGCGGTCTGTCTACTGCGCGCCCCAGCTCCTTTCAACTATCATTTGGTGAAGGTTGAATCCGCCCGGCGATGCAGAGTGCCAGTCACCATCAACAATCAGACTGACGTTCGATCCAGCACAGCAGAGCCCTGTGAACTGACGCCAGTCAGCCCGAGCAAGGTGTTGCGAGCCGCAGTGCTGATCATAGATTCCACCACGCAGGGGCAGCGGAAGCCGCGGAACAATGCCAAGAGAAGGGGTCTTCGATAGCGGCGGCACTCTTCAATGACCGTATGTGTCGTCTGGGAGTCATATCAAACGGTCACAATTGCATCAACACTCCTCGACCTCTGTTCAATAAACCTTGGCAGACAGAGGCTGCCTAAACTCTCCTTGACAAAGACTTGCGAGGTAACAGCCCCGACCCGACATTGGACAGCGCGGTTCATCATCACGCACGCAACGAGTGCGAGCTAGCTCGTATTAACATCGAGGGCGATCCTATGAGCCCGTGCAGGTGATCCGAGCTCGGCAGCATCCGGTGTGCGACTCTACCGCAGACATTCTGCAAACAGCACGTCAACCTCTTGAGCGATGCCGATCCCTGGACAAACTTCCATGGGAGGAGCCTATGCCGTCAGCAGGAGTTCGGAGTGGCCGGCTGTGCAGGTCGATGTCAGCTTGGAGACTGCGAAAAGGCAAGTCGCGAGAGGCGAAGCAGCCCCGCCTCAAAGGTCATCTGCGATCTCCGAGCGTGAGTTCATTCTTGTCGTTTGCTCGCTCCTAATCCGAAGCCCTCACAAAGTCAGGACTAGTCTGATCTCTCGACGTCAGGATGCTGGGTGCTTGTCGCTCATGTTTCTACTGACCGAGCTATCGCCGACATCGTCCTCTCGCTAAATGCAGGATCACAAGCCGGAGCGCCTCCGAGAGCAGGGCCGCGAAGAGGCCGAACACGTACCTCGACCATAACACGTCCTTCGACCATCTCGTCCAACGCGGCATCACACGGGCCCTTATCCGGTTGGAACCCGCTTGTCTGCCCAGCTTGCTGTTGTGAAGATTGATGTGTCGTAGGAGCCACGACTAATGTTGAAAGCTTCGCTGGAAATCTGCTGCGCAGTGATCTCAGCGTTTAGCGAGGATTATCATTCGCAAGCCAAGCGGCTAGATACTTGATGCAGGAACTTGATCAGAACAGGTACACGCGCGCGATTATCCACTCATTAGTCAGTGCAATGTCAGTGCAACACAGTGCGCGCAATGGTCTGCTTGGTCGTCCACTGCGGCCATGCTCCTTGATCTGCTTGATGGCCCTTGATGGTTCGAAAAGACGTTAGAGAGTCTAGATCCCCGCCTCTGCTTAACTGTGCGACGAATTTCATGCCATATTTTGACAGGCCCATCGCAAGCAGACCGATGCAAGTTGTCCGACTCTCGCATCATACGTTGCAATCGTCGCGTCACTTCAGACATTGTTCATCAGCACGGCTCAAGCAGCTCTCAGTGCGTGGTTTACAAAGGGAACCACGCCTACTGAGGCAGGGCCCAGTGTCCGTCGACGACCTGAGGACCCGGACCAAAGACAAAGTGTCCGTCCTTCTTGCCGCGGTTGCTCTTCAGCGTCCAGTCCATGTCGGGGCCGATCGAGGCGAGGAAGTCGGCCTCGCCGTACTTGGGCTTCCAGCCGATTTCGCGCGAGTGCTGAGCGCGAGCGCGTGAGTTGGTGCCGAGATACGTGGACTGGGGTGTCAGCATCTGTTGACTGCCGCTGTTGCCCGTCGCCGAGGAGGCTTCATACTCACGCCTCCGGTGTACTTGTCGAGCTCCTCCTTGGAGAGCGTCTTGGGCTCAGCCTGGCCCAGGCCACGCTTCTCCAGGGCCTTGCCGATCGACTCGGCCACGTCCAGCATCGAGTGCTCGCCATTCTCGCCAAAGTAGTAGCCGTCCGCACCGTGGCCGATGTCGCCGCGGAGCGCGCCCTGGTACACGAGCGCGAAGAGGTCCTAGCGTGTCAGTGATGAATGTTCGAGGTTGAGATTGGGGTTGTGGGCCCCGGACCTCGGCAGGGAATCGAACTTACCGCCTGGTCCTGGATGTGCACGTCCGGCCAAAGGTTCTTGCCCTCGCCGACCATGGCAGGGGCCTTGCGGTCGAGACTGATGCGGATGAGGAGGGGCACCTGCTGGGACTGGGGGTTGCAAAGCCCGGCGTCCGCGAAGGGCGTCTCAGAGATACCATAGATGGTCGAGGGCAGGATGATGTACGCCTTGACATATCCTTCCTGGTCAGCACGGACGATGTCGAGGTCGACGTCGCGGTGGAACGCATCATCGGGGAGGGACGCGAGGGTCTTGAACTCGCTCGACTTCTGGAGGTCCGTGTAAATGTCCTTGGTCGCAAAGGTGCCCGCATCGAGATCCGACAGCGTGCCCGTTCCGCTCGTGTGGATGAGGATGGGGGTCTTGCCGCTCTCGTGGCGCTTCTTCAGGCCTCGCAGGATGGCCTGGTTCGCAGCCTTGCCATCCGCATCCGCGCAGTTCAGGGTGATGTCGTGCTCGCTCGCCAGCTTCTCCAGCTTGTCATGGTCGTCCAGGGATCCGATCGCAGGCACCAGTCGCGAGTCCACCTTCGAGAAGCCCTCCACCACTTCCGGCCGCCTGCCATAGACTGTGACCTTGGCGTCCGAGTCTGCCTTCAGGATGGCGTTCAGAGCCGAGGACCCAATGTAGCCTGTGGTCAGCAATTGCTCGCCAGCGACACCATACCGGTCGCGCCGATGAAAAAGATGCTCTTGCCCATAGTTTCGAGATGCTCCGAGTTTGTTTGTCGGTACAGATGCAAAGATTCGCAATTATTTATAAAGGCTGTCAATAATCTAGACACGATGCGAACGAGGATCAGTCAGCAGGTGAGCTCTCACAGGCTGGTTGTAGCGAATGTCTGAGTTTGACGTCATGTCTTACTCATCACCCGTTGTTTCATGGGTGGAGGTCATCACGTGCGAGCCAGGTCAATCACCGCCCTGCCGATCGGCATCTCACATCGTGTATGCGAGAACATGGGTGCCGAGCGAGAGAAAGAGCGATGCGAACGAACGGACGAGCTCGACGGCCCGCTTCGTAAACAAGTGGTTTTGAACGCCGGTGGTGTCGCTTGCGCACTTTGGAACAACTACCAGCTAAAATGTGGACGCTGAAGGCAGATCACGGTGTGCACCGGCGTTCTTGAAACCTGAAACTCGCCGATTGCCGCCGGCAACTCACAGATGTCTAATTATCCAACCAGACTTTGCTGACCAACAAGTCCCCGCGCGATGTACGCGAGTTCCACGTCTGGCCTTGTCATGGAGGATGGCTACAGACCTCTAGCAGCACGGAGCTACTGGACCTGCGCCCCTTCACTTTTTGTTATTCGAACGGTTGATGAGCTGATTCTTTGCGCCCACTTATCTGCTCAATACCTGCTGCGCGAGTTGGACGCCGAACACGCCCATGCGCCCATGCGGGGCTGAGGCGTCGAGGCTGAAGGCTGGAGGGCCCGGGGGCTGGGCGTACGCGAGGGCGAGGTCTGTGCGCAGCTCGGACCTCACAGGTCTCATCGGGATCTTTGGCGTTCCGTGCCGGTCCGAGCGCGCATCCCTACCCCGGCAGCCGGCAGGGAACGCGGCCTTGTGCGCATTGCGATGCGACATGACCATCATGGGGATGATTGACTTTGAAGCACCCGACCCGTGGCCGTTGCTCGGCCCCCCGCGATGCGCATACCACTACCCACAAGGCCACAACCCACGGGTTGAGGCAAATCGGCCTGCGTCACTCCCTAGGCTCTCAAACGCACACCATCGCCCTCAGCCCAAACCCTTTCCGGCTATATCGAAGAGTCTTGAAGGTCTACAAAGCTGGAAGCCTTGTCGATCCTGCTCACTTCCGTTATCTACGGCACTAGTGCTGGTGCACATCTGCTTTGGTGCAGCCTGACGCTGCTGCCGACGTCAGTCGTAGTTGACATGCTCGCTGACTCTGGTCCCAGAACAGAAGGTTGCCCTGTGTTGCCTCTCAGTGTTCGCTGTGACCAGGCGACATCACGCGGCCGACAAAACTTTCAGTTACGAGTCTTAAGTGAACACAGCAGGACTGTTTACTGGCCAACTGTCAGCAGACCGCGGCTTACTCGCCAATCAGTCCTCAACACTAAGGCAACCTGCAGCACGTCGTCGATGTCGTGACGGCCTCGTGTACCCGTAGTTTGGAGTTAGAATGTGATTTTGCGTTATCCGTCCCCACCTTCTTCAGAGCGCAACGCGGACCATGTGCCCTATGGAGCCGTACGGTCCCCCCAAGGAGCATGTACACTTAGCTCAACCAGGCCTAAGTCACATGCCGGCACAAGTACTCCGTGACTATCATACATACAGCGAACAACGGCTCCGAAGTGTCGGCGATGCTGCCGTTGAGCGAGGTCAGCAGACCTTCAGCGAAGCGGTGAGGAGTCTCATGGCCGCGATCTGTTGATCGAGCTCACTATGTGCACGTAACAATGTCGTAAAGTGTGTGGGTAGTTCCTTCCCTCCGTCTCGAGCGAGATACAGAAGCAAGTTGCATGGTGAGGTGAGATGGTAGTCAGTAACGCTTCTCCGGAGCTCATCTTTGACCAGCAGTGAGTAGAACAAGCCTACCGACTATTCGGTGCTGTGGTCAATTATACGGCACCTAGTGATTGTCCGGACCGCTAGCGAGCTAATCTGGACAGCTCCAGGCTTTCCATGGCAGAGCAGCCTGCACTCAAGCTCCAGAGCCCATCAGGCGACATCCTCTACGAGGTCTACATGAACCGCTTCCCAACAGACCTAGAATCTCATCTCTCAGGTGTTCTCACTCGACTTCAAGTGTTGAACCTCCCCTTCCAACAGCATGTGGACGGCTCTACTCTTGTTCTCGTTGCTACTGTTGACGGTGCACGAGGCACCGCCGCAACGGCGAAGGGACGATATGTCCTCTCCGGCAGCTGGGAGTCGGCGCGCGGTCGTTGAGCGTGACATGGTCTGCGGAGACAGGGGCGGCAGGTCCGCGGATGAGAACCTTGATGGCTGCAGCCACACCATGGGGCATTGCGACAAGGCTTGCGACCTCGTGTCTGGGGAAGACAAGTTCTGCAATTGGTCGCTACTGCGAGGCACACTCTGGTTGCTTGATGGCGTTTGCTAGCTGCCAACTCGCAGACCTCCTGTGCTGATCATCGGAAGGAACGTAGAAGAAAAGAACACCAAGTAGGACAGCAATAGCAATGTAGTCGATTGGAATACGATATGAAGCGTCGTGCTGGTAGCGGACAGAAGTGGGTAAAGGTACTTCGATGGAACTGTCGGCCACGTGACGGTGACAAACCCAAGCACTTGCGCGCGGCATTAAGGAGGCGCGTAGACAATTCCAACGTCAACACCTCTACCTTCACGACTCGCAAGGCAAACTTCACAATGACCGAAAACGCCGTCACCCGCTTTTGCCTTAAGGTCGTCTCCTCGTCGGGCACCGAGCTCTACCGCGGATGCAAGGACCGCTTCCCAACTGACATCCCTACTTACCTTTCCGGCGTTGTCAACCGCTTACACGAACTGAACCTCGAATACGAGTCATCCGTCGAGAACGGAGACATCCAGCAATACCTCGTCGCAGTATCTGAAGGCAGCGAGGCCCCCACTTCTCAACAGTGCCGCTACGTCGTCTCGGGAAGCTGGAGCTCATTCGATAAACATGAAAAGGGGCGCCGAACTGCCCAGCAAGCAACCGTCGGGGCGACTTCATATTAGGGGTTGGGTTAGGCCCCCCGAGATGGCCAAGAGTGGCTGATGGCAGCCGTTACTGGGGCTAGTTTTGCTACGCTCTGACTCACGGGGCCTCCGATATCAGTCTCGTCACTGGTGCTCCCTATATTGCACTTACCAGCTCGAGCTCACAATCTGGGCGCCGTACTCTGACCAACTGGCTGCCGCGCGAAGCTTGTACTCCAACTGTTACGATGATAGGCAGATCTTTCGTAGCCCCTCGATGTAAGAGAGCATGAGCCGCTCAATATAGATGTGAGTGGGTCGTGTTGGACTGCTCGACGCTCAGGCCGGCAGACTTCCAACCTTGCCGATTGCACGGTTGCAGTTTATAAACAAGCCTGATGCTGCGTCACGACAACAACAGCGAGCCATTGGCCAGCCCAGACACAAAAGAGAGAGCAAAAACGCTTAGCGACGAGAAGTTTCGATCTTCTGCCCTTTGGGTGGTCTCATATGAGCCCAACGCTCTTCCATCTGAGCTACGTCGCTTTTGCTGTTTTCTTGAGCAACCTCTGCGCTTTCACGACTCAATTTCCCACGTGGCGCAATGGGAGCGAGGGGTGGAGGGTCAGGGGGAGCGGGCGACGCCGCTCGCTTGGAAAGGATTGCGGAGTGTCTTGTGCAGTTCGATAAAGGGTCAGCGGAGGGTCAGCTCCGCCCTGAACGCCTTTGTTCCTTTGTTCCGTCTGTCCTCCTCTTGAGAGGTGCTCGCCGCTGAGCGCGTGACTTGCGCCGCATGCGGTGGGCGGCGGGGAGGCGCCAAGGCTTGACGTTTGCCCCGGAAGGTGCGGTCCTGTGACGCCCCGCGGTGCTCGGGACGGGGCGTGACGAGTGCAGGCTACGAGCTGCGGGTGGAGGCAGCATCTCGCAGACTTGGAGGGAGCGAAGAACCGGAACGGAGGTACTGCGGTGCTGTGTGCGTGCTCAAAGTATGCATGTCTGTCCCGTCACATGTCTGGGCTGTTCTGGGCCAGCTTTGGTCTGCTGCGCCGGACCTATCGGCCTGTCGCAATCGCAATCGCAGCCGTTTGACAGACAAGGAAGGTGCATTCGAGTCACGGTGCATTGTAACGTCTCGAATTTGACGCTTTTCAGGGTCCGTCGTTCCAGCCAGGCGAGGCTCTGCAGCGGCGCGGCGCCAGTGGCCAGCAGCGCAGCACAGCCGGTTACGCCAGAACGCCAGAGGAGCGCCGAACGCCAGCGCGCCAGCGACAGTGCGAACAAGCGCGAACGCAAGCGAGCACAAGCGGGCGAACGAACTAGGTCGCAATGACGACCAGACTGCGCAGTGTGCTTATCGCATTGCCATGTGTCCTCTCGCACTCTCACGCGCCCACGCCGGAGTGGACGCCCGCTCCCACGGTCCAGTGCAGATACGAGGCAAGGGCCGGGATCTTCGGCAGGGCAACAGAATCCAGCGGGTCCTCGATCCTCGCGGTCCACGGATCCAGGAGTCTCAGGATTGCTGGCCAGTGGTGCCTTGTGACCTCGCCCTTCCCTGCTGGCACCCACCGGCAGAATGCAATCTTGGATCCGCGTGACTCCGGCGGCGGTTGCGAAGCGAAACGTCTTCCTCGCACAGCTGCGGCGCCGGCTGTGCCCGTGGGAGATGCGCTTGTGTCAGATATCAGACGTCCAGATCCCACTGGCTGTTTCGTCTTCTTCCACCGTCAAGAGTGACAACATTTGCGTTGCGCTCGGCTGGAACGCAAGCATAGCCCAGACGCTCTGGCAGACTGCGGCCCACCTCGCCTCCCGATGCCAAGCATATCACATGGACCCGGACGCTCAGGAACGAGGAAAATAACGTTTTGAATGCCGATTTCAACCTTAGCCCTAGCCCGGGTCTGGCATGTTGGCGATTGCGACGCGCGACGCGACTTTGACTCGACGCGACGCCAGACCTCCCGGAAGTGGTCCGAAGATGGCCCGGAGAGACTCGCGATCCTTCCAGAATGGGAACAAGGCAGGGAAAGGGATCGAGGTGCCGAACTGCCCATGCCGTCCATGGCCGGACGTCGCGCAGTCGCGCGCAATGCCAGTGGCCAGTCGCAGTGGGCCAGTGCGGCCAGTGCGTTTAATGAATGCCAGAGGCCGCCAGTGGGCCCGGCGGGTGGTCGGGCGAGGGCCGGGTGAGGACAGGGCCGGCACAGAACAGGGTCAGGACAGGCGGCGGGGCGGAACAGGGAACGTCTTTCACGCCTCTGCCCGTTATTATTATTGATCCGACGGTCCATGGCTTCAGCCGGGTGGCCAGAGACGAGACTGACCTCGATCCTCGTCCTTGCTGTGATGAGCTCTGACCGGCACCCCTTGTCCCTCCCAGCTTCTGTCCCCCCTGTTTCTCGCACTCTGTGAGCAGTCCTTAGCGGCCGCCAGCGTATGTGCACAATGGGATGTCACTTGGCGGTCAAGTTCATCGCGGCGAACACTGCTCTGACACCCAGGCAGTCACCTTCCTTGCGGCTCAGACACCAAACACGCCCCGGGCAGCGTCTGCGCGTGGCTGCTCAGGCGCGAAAAAAGCGACGCGCCCGGACACCAAAAGAGGGCCAGAGGCGCACTAGGCGCTGCTTCGCTCTGTTTCGAGTAAATGGATGTGAAACTCGAGTGGATGAAAACGGACTAAGGTGGCTAAGCTCTTTTCTTGCGTGAGCGGCTGAGCGGCATTGAGCGAGCGGGCGTGAGCGGCGCGCAGGTACGCAGGTGCGGCAAAAGGGAAACGGCACAAGCTCATGGCATGCAGCCGATCTCAGGGTCTGGGCCGGCTGCGCCCCTGGACATTCACCGGTCGATTCCCTTCGGAGTCTGAGGCTAAGAGCAAAGCAGATGCAGCCAGATTTGCCCGGATTGCGTGCGGCGAGCTGCAGGCTACAGGCGTACAGGCGGTGCAGTCGGGTGGGCGGCATGGACGGGGAGCAAGGGACGGAGGGTCCGGAGAACAACCTAGGACAAGGGGAGGGCAAAGGGTAGGGTCACCCGGCCTGGTCTCGTCGACTGGTCTCGTTAGTAGGGGATCGGACGCCACGGGTGGCTCATGCAAGACAGGATTTGCTCCTCTTGGCTTGGCTCGTATGGCGCGTATGGGCTCGGACTGCTTCACTGCCCAAGACTTGTTACTACTCTGAGTGATCGCAACTCAAAGTGCCGTAGCGTAGGACGCAGGTTCCTGTAGCTCGTGGCCGCTGGCCCGCTGCATGGCCTGCTGGCCCTCCGCACAAGCACTCTGGCGCACTGGCGCACACCCACCCAGCCGGCACAGCGCTTCCACTAGTCTCGTCTCAGCTCAGCCTCAGTCAGCCAGCCCAGCCCGCCACGCCCGCGTTGGTCGCTCTCGCCGCTGGCCGCTGGCCGCTGGCCTGGCACACTACCGCCAGCACGCTGGCATGCCGCACCCCCTGCCGCTTTTCTCCATCACCTCTCTTCTCTTTCTTCTTCTCTCCTCTCTTCATCGCTCTACGCTCGCTCAACTCTCTCTCACGTCTTGCTCTGATTCATTCCTGTCGAATCGCAACCACCAGCCCAACCGCATCCAAGCCTCTACACACGGCCCCTCTTAATCTATTCCTTTTGCCACCCCCTTCCTTATAATCACAATCACAATGTCCGCCCCCGTTGAGGAGACCGAGGTGAGTCAGAGCCTTCTTTCTGTCGTGTTTGTGTGCATGTGTGCAGTGGTCAGTGCGTGACAGTGCACTCGTGTCTGTGGAGCACACACACACACGCTCCCCCATCGCATGCTTGGTTGCATCATGGGAGACGTGACTCGTTACCAGCAGTTCGGGTGTACCGGCGGCGGCCAACTTTTTTGCCACCCGTATCCTTCCGCCAGATCTCTCCATTCAGCCCATGGACAATTGTGCAAACAGCATTCTCTTGTCACGTGAAGCTATTGCGTATGTCGTAGCCTGCGTAGCACAGTTTGAGGTCGTCGTTTTAGGCGCCTAAGACGCAAGAGAAGCATGGGGCCTTGGCAAATCCTCCTCACACGGGGTGGAATAGAAAGGAAGCCCCCGAACGGACGGTCACTTGGGCCACAGCCCAGTTCCGTGACACGCGCTCGCGCGCGCGCTAAGTCGTCACTGTCACACATTCCATGCGCCCAAACACTTGTCCCCCCTCTGTCCGTATCATGATGCTGATTGCGCCTTCCTTCGTATTTCAACACTGTTCACTCTCTCATACCCAACTGCATCCTTGCACGCCACAATGTCTCCCAAGCAGGTCGTCGTCGCCGAGACCCCCGCCCCCGTCGCTGCCCCCGTCGTCCCCGAGCCTACCGAGGTGAAGGTCGAGGGTGAGGTTGTTGCCACCGAGGCCGCCGTTGCTCCTGAGGTGAGTGGCAAATGCATGCCTTGCCTTGTCAAGCCCATCTGCTAACTGTGCACAGGCCGCTGCCGTTCCCGCCACCGAGGTCAAGGCTGAGGAGGTCGCTGCCCCCGTTGCCGAGGCTCCCGCCGCCGCCGAGGCTGCCCCCGCCGAGGAGGAGGCCCCCAAGGCCAAGGACGCTGCTGCCGCTGAGGTCGCTAAGACGGAGGAGAAGGCCAAGGCCGCCAAGGTGAGTAGCGCTTTCGCATCCATTGTCTCAGAGATCTGCCACTGACACGATCAGGAGAAGGTCAAGGCTGAGGGCAAGGGCTTCTTCGCTAAGCTTTTCGGCAAGAAGGACAAGAAGGCCGCTAAGCCCGCTGCTGCTAAGACCACTGCTGAGGCCCCCAAGGCTGAGGAGCCCGTCCTCCCGCTGCTGAGGCCGCCCCTGCCGCTGAGGCCGCTCCTGTTGCTGCTGCTGAGGTCGAGGCCCCCAAGCCTGTGTGAGTATGCCGTGGCGAGCCGTCGTCAGACAAACCCCGCTAATCAGTTTCCAGTGAGGCTGCCGCCGAGCCTGTCGCCGCCCCTGTGGTCGAGGCCCCCGCTGCCCCTGCCGCTGAGCCCGTCACCACTCCTACCGCTGAGGAGCCCTACCGCTGAGGAGCCGTCCGTTGTCGCCAAGGGAGAGCAGGCTGCCAAGGACGCCGAGGCCGCCGTCGAGAAGGAGGCCACCAAGGCTGTCAAGGCCACTCGCCGACTCTCTGCTCGCTTCACTGGCTTCTTCAAGCACAAGGACGCCTCGCCCAAGAAGGAGGTTCCTCCGTCTACCCCTTCGCCGGAGACTGAGGCCGCTGCGGCTGCCCCCGCCGCTGCTGAGGAGGCCGCTCCCGTCGCCGCTGTTGAGACTCCTGCCGCTGTCACCGAGGCCGCCCCCAAGATCGAGGAGCCGGCGCCCACTGAGCCTATCCAGATTGAGGCTGTAAGTACTCTGTAAGCGCGTTAGCTGACCTTGAGCCCAAGACCTCTGCGCCGCCTGCTGCCCCCGCAGTTGCCGCCGCGGCTTAGAGTGTGATTCCAGTAGTTTATGAGAGCGAGACGAAACCTGTGTATGATTGTCACCCTTCCCCCCATATCTCTGCTCATTAATGTACCCCGATAGCGGTGCCCCCTCATTCTCTCATATCATTACCTCTTCCGGCTTGACGTTCGCGATCGCAATTTGATCGCTTCTCATTAGGACGTACTTGTTGGCCATGGTAGTCACTTTTGATGCATAATAATTGTGACTTGACAGATGCAGTTTCCACAGCACACGGTGGGGTCCACAGAGACTGGAGTGTCGTCATGGCAAAAGTGTGGGCTGGATAAGATTTTGGCTGGTGGAGGTTGCCACTCATGATTTTGGAAAGTTGGGATCGTCCAGAACCACACACCACCTACACCATGTCGACCTCAAGAGCAAAGCGTATCGGTTCTCTGCTGTTCTGTCCCGCATGCGGAACGCTGCTCGACCTCCCCCGTGACGACCAGGATGAGATCGAGTGCCATCAGTGTGGAAGGAAGGAGCCTGCGAGCTGTGAGTAACTCACAAACAACCCTTCCCCGGAGTCGCGGATGTCGTTGTCGTCGTGCGCAGCTAGTCATCTGCCTGATTCCAAGGGTGCATCTGGGCATGATTGGGGTTTACCTCTGCTTTACTGGCTAGGTGCCGTGCCCTGCCGCACCGCATCACTACCGCACTGCATCCACGTCGCTGCGACCAGCGCTGACATTCAGCGTACGAGAACCTCCCGACCAAGACCTACTCCTCCCCGCATGCGTTCCCGTCAGCACTGAGGCAGAAGCATGCGCTCGTGCAGAACACCATGACGGGCGACGAGGCTGCCGTGGACCGTGATCCTGTCGTGAGTTACTGGCCCAACTACGTCGTGTTCTGCGGCGGAAATGTGGAAGCGGCGCGAAGTTGCGACGGGCAGAAGACCGAGCATCAGCTAACAGACAGGCGCAAGAGAAGTGCCCGGAGTGTGGCCACATCGGTCTCTCGTACAAGGAGATGCAGCTCCGTTCGGCGGACGAAGGTTCGACTATCTTCTACAAGGTGAGTAGTCCTCTTGCGTCGAGATCCCGATCACCGAGCGTCTGTCGCCCTTCGCATCGCGAGGAGTTTAAGCTCAGTTGGGCTGTAACGGTGGTATCGCGAGAAGGTTACGTTCACGCCGTATGGCGTCGGATGTCACCACGCTATGCGGGCTGAGGCGTCTTCGTTGGAGCGACCCCCGTGCTGACGATCCTAGTGTCTCGACTGTGGACATCAGTTCTCCACGAACAATTAGGTACAGGATACAGACGACCTGTTGTATGCTACTATTATCTCGGCACCAGTTAGCAGCAGTCTACGCAAGTTTTCCCGTCGAGCGTGGATTGGGACGATCGGCATTGTCACGGCAATCGCAATCGGGGATCGAGTCTCGTCATCCAACTCTCCACACGGTGTGTCTCGACGTGTCTCGGTCCCGACCGATGGTGACAAGATGTTGGGTGACGGATCCGCAACACGAGTCAGAGTGGGCCACCGTATTAGGGTACTGGGATACTGGGTGAGGTCACGCTTCGATCGACGGGTTCGCTGGACGCTTGGAGTGGGCAACTAGGAGGATCTCCAGCAAGTCAGTGCAAGCAGAGATGGAGCAGAGACAGATGACGTCTGGGCAAGTTGTGCATTCAGTGGCGGGAGGAAGGTGAGGCAGACATGAAGGAGGAGCGGGACGCATACAGGGGGATGGGCGTAGAGAGGATGTCAGCACGCGCTGTGCGCGTTGTTGACGTCGGCCGGGTCCGTGATTGAAGCATTGCTTACACCGAGTCAGTGAGTCATGACCTGGGGTGAGTAGAGGACGCCGAGGCATGAGGTACGCTCGAGTCATTCCAGCCGGTCAGCCGGTCGCTGTGGCAACGGGGGCCTGCCTGGCCTGCCTTTCTTGGCCCGACCGTGGCCGGCGTGCGGCGTCATTGAGGAGGGTGAGTTCCGGGAACTCGGCCACGAGGGCTTCTCGGAACACTGACTGCAATGGATGACCGCTGGGTCGCAGTCGCAGGCACCAGCCGAATGCAACACAATGGGCGCTGAATGGTGAATGGGACAAGGGGAGGGGACTGTATTGCATGAGGCTATGCTGCGGGTATACTGGGGAGTGCTGGCTGAGTGCTGAGGCTGGTTGTGGGTGTGCAAGGGCAACACCACGTGATGAACTGGAGGAATGATGATGCAGGGTGAAGCTGCGCCAGTAGCCGGAACGCGAGCCGAGGGATCCGACTCGCAGTTGTGTCATGGCAAGGGAGCCAGCCCAGCCAGCCCAGCCAGCCCAGGGCACAGCACCCAGCACCCAGCAGTCCCCAGTTCAGGGCTCGGGGCTCGTCAACAAGGGGGCGATTTGCCACTCGCTGATCGTAACCACACAACGACACAGTGGAGCACCGCGCATCACCTCGTCCCCAGTCATACATCGTCTGGGCCAGGTCGGGCCTCCTGTCTCTCTGTTGCTCGTCCAACTCGACTCACCCCATTGTCACTGCGTTCCTCGATCTCGATCCCCTGTCTCTGTCATCCACTTCATTACACTCGCCATTGCTCCTACCTACTTCGACTCGACTACGGCTTATCGTCTATCAGCCTTATCAACCTCCCGTCACCCCGTCACCCTCGGCCATTCCCCCAACCCCAACCCCATCCCCACACCCTCACCACCCATTGGACTCATCCTCAACCATCCTCGCACTCTCCATAGTGGACCACAATGCCCTCGCCCAATGTTCACACTCCGGCGGGGGCCCAACGCACCGGATTCCGTGAGTTGACAATACACACCAGACAACGCGTCCGGACTGTCACTGACATCATCCAGCGGTACCCGTCGAGTGAGCCTCCCCCAACGTCCTCAGTTCCCACCAGCACGACTGACGACAGTGACACGCCCGCATCCCTTCTCTCCCCGCTGCTGACGCTCCCCACGAGTCTGGCGGGGCTGAAGCTCGGCGGCTTCGCGTTCAACGGCTCGCCATCCAAGGTGGCTGCGCCGGCGGCAACACCGGCACCACCGGTCGGGTCGGACACGTCTGCCGTCTGGCAGCACGTACAGCTCGGCCCATCCCCGGCGTGCGTTGCACAGCTCAAGAGGTCCAACTGACAACAGCCGCACGCGAGTCCTGCTCCTGACCTCGCCGACTCATGCATTGCAGGCGTTCGCGTTCGAGAACAGCGCCATCCCCGACGACCCCCACGTCAGCGAGGAGTACCCGCCGCCAGTCGAGATCGCGTCCATTCCCAGCATCACTTACGACGATGATGTGAAGCACTCTGCCTTGCCGAGTGTGCGCGGCCGTGCCCCTGGACAGGAGAGCGTCACCTCGGCGCGTCTTCTGGAACGGGCGCACTGGGCCGGGCGCGGTCCCATCGTCGCCATGACGTGAGTGAAGCTTTCATGACACAGTTTGGTAGCTAACAGATCAGGACCAGCTCGCCGAACGGCAATCAGGCTCTAGTGCTCTTGGACCTCACGAATGGGAAGGCGTTCCGCCGCCTCGACCTCGGCACGGGTGCGGCGGCCAGGGTGACCTCGTCGGCTCGCGTCATCATGCTGGTGAGTTTAGTGTTCCAGGTCACCCGGCTAACTCGCAGCTCACCTCGCACCCCACGCCATCGGTGTACCTCCTCGACAGCGGACTGAAGGTTCTGCACGTCGTGCATGACCTTCCCGTAGGTGCTGACGGCATGCTCCCCGTGGCCAGTGTGTCCGGCCGGCTTGCGGCTTACGCGACCACCGAACCAGCCGCCGTTCCTGGCAGCGACGGATTGGGATCTGTAGTCTGCGCCGGGTCAACACGGGCACGCTCGTCGAGTGATGCTTCGCAGCCTCCTGCTCCGCAGTCTACGCAGGCCGCGCTGTTGAACTCGGCGGTGGAGATTGGTGGCGGGGTCGCACGTGGGCTGTGGTCCGGTATCAAGATGGGAGCGCGGGCGGCTAGCGCGAGCCATGCGCGGATGGCAGTTAGTGCGCCTGCGGAGCGCGGACTGGGAGATGACGACAATGTCTCCGTCGCGACCTCCGAGAGCCGGTCCATGGACGACGGTCTCGGTGAGGGCGGCGGCGCCATGCCCCGCCTGAAGGGAATATGGGTCAAGATCATTGACCTGAAGCCCGAGCCCGAGCTGATTGCGCACTTCCGTCTTCCCCCCGTACGATCCTTGATCTCGACGGCGTCAGGCCAGCTGCAGCGTGCGCCGACAGTGACGCGGAAGAACCAGCCCGTGACCTTCCTCGAGTTCTCGAGCGATGGCACGCGGCTGTTTGCCGCGTCTGTTGGCGGCCGCGCCTTCCACGTCTTTGACGTCCGACCGCGTAGCGCGAACGCGAAGCGCAACAAGCGCGCTCCGAAAGGCGAGGTCTGGGAGGCGTACATCTTACGGCGCGGTAACACGTCTGCCAGCGTATGCTCCGCCACCTGGTCACCCGACGATCGATGGTTAGCGGTCGGAACGGCAAAGGGCACACTGCGTAAGTTGACTGCTGACCTTTTCAACTGACAGAACAGACGTATTCCCCATCTGCCCTGACGGCGGCAAGCCATCAGCGTCCAGCCATGTACCGACGAAGATCCGCAACCCGGCCGAGTTATCGACTCTGTCTGTCGAGGTTGGCGCGTGCGCTCGTCTCCGTCCGCCGGTCCCCGCTCAGGAGGAGGGTGAAGCGGACATTCGACCTTACACGCTGACCTCGGCGGCCTTCACTGCGACTCGCGCCAACCCCATCGGTAAGAGCAGGCTCTGCCAGGACCTCGTCTTATACCGCCCTGTCTTTGGGCAGCTCGAGCTCGCCCGTCTGGACGTGTTCGCGACCAGCCCGACGACAACTTCGCCCTCGAAAACTGACCACCGTCGCCGTGTCTCGAACCTGACCGAGATGATGCGGCTTCGGCCTAGCGGCGACCTCGGTGTCGAGAGCAAGGTCAAGGCGCGCTGGCTTCTGCCCTTAGGTCAAGGTGCCGGCGAGCGCACTGTGCCGCTCGCTCCTCCGCCAAAGACCAAGTCCGCCGAGTCCGTGCCCAGCAAGAGCCTGTACCACGCCGAGATCCGGACCTGCAGTGGCTCGCCGCGCATCCTCCCAACCTCGATCTACCTCTCGCGCCAGGTCAACTTCTACGCCGCGGTGCCGACCGACGAGTACACGCCTCTGTCTGTTTTGGACAAGGAGGCGCGCACTCGCCGCCTGAGCTTCCGGCCCGAAGTCGAGCTGCACTCTGGCACGCCCGACTCGCACTCGCTCGACGAGGGGCTGGGCTCGGCGCTGCACTCGGTGATCGACCGACTGCGACGCCCCTCCCGCACCTGCCGAACGGGTCCCCCCGCAGCTCGCTCTGGAACACGATTCCGATCCGGCACGTCGCCTCGAGTGTCGGCGAGGGCGTTGGCCGCGTGCGGCGCGAGTATGCGCGTGCCTCGCGCCGCGTCAGCGGCACGCTGGGCAGCAGCTGCGACTCGCCCATGCCGGCTGAGGGCGAGGACGTACCGCCGCCGATGACGACGGACGGCTCGCTCGAGGACGACTGGGACGACGGGTGGGAGGCAGAGTATGCGCGTGCAGTGGAGGACGACGGCGGGCCGGACGACCTCGTGCTCGGCTTACTGGACGAGGAGGAGGAGGAGCGGCGGAACCAGCAAAAGACGCAGAAGGAGAAGAAGAAACACCAGCAACAGCAGCAAGTCCTGTGATGTTGACAACAACCACTCTCCCTCTCCATGCTTGAGAACGCGATAGAAAGGAAGAGACTCAGAAGTTATTACCATAACCCAAACACAACATAAGCACGAAACATAAACCAACAACAGCAACAAACTCAAAGTGACACCGGTCCCATTCGCCCACTTCAAACCATTATGTATACTGTATGCATTCTTCTAGTCATACGAGCACTGCTGAACGCTCCCCGTCTAGTCATCCCTGGAAGCGTACTTCTGCTCCCTCGCGCGCGCCGTCTCCTGGTACACGGCAAGCTTCTCCTCCTTCGTAGCGTTGTACTTGAGGTGGAGCTGGTTCATAGGATTCTCGCTCGACTTCTGGAACTGCGCCCAGAGGCGGTCTCGATACTGATTCTGGCGGAGGCCCGGGTACTCCTCCTTGTACTTTGGCAGTTCGCGCTCGAGGTACGCGTTAAAGGCAGCCTTGACGCGGCGCTCGGGATGCGTGTCGATGCCAGCGGCCTTGGTGCCCTGCGAGCTCTTGTCCGTCTTCTCATTCACGATCTCGAGCGCCTCGAGCATCTCGTCGACGCCGACGGCCGAGAGACTCTGCACCTCGCGCTCGGGGTCGCGGCGCAGGCCCTGGGGGTCGTCGGTCCGGAACGCGCTCACGCCAGCGTTCGTCTTGGCGAATCCACCGGCAGAAGAGGAGGGCTTCTTCTTCTGTCCCGCCTTCGGGGCCGCCTTCTTCGTCGGCATCGACGCCTCCTCGGCCGCGAGGAGGGCTTCGCGCTCGGCCTTCTTCGCCGCCGCCTCGGCCTGCTTCGCGGCAGCCAGGTCTGCCTTGGACGCGCCCTTGGCTTAATGTCAGCTTTTGTGGACGCAATCATAGCTAGGTAAAAGGGAGGTACGTACCCCCCGACTTCCACTTGTCCGCCTCGGCCTTCTCCTTCTGCGCGGCGGCGGCCTCGGCCTTCTTCGCCTGTGGGGATTAGCTGGCGACTCTCAGTTCAGCTCGTGCGACTATGTCTGGGCTGGAGCACAAGCACGAACACGCAAGAAGAGCCGTAACCGGCTCCTCGGCTCCTCAAGACCACGGACTCACCTCATTCTCGGCCTTCTTGGCTCGGCCGGACTCCTTCTTTGCGTTTCCTCCCTTGGGCGCCATTGTCGATAGTGTGTGAGAGTTAGAGAAACCTGTGTCAAACACAGCAACAATGCACTGATGAGAGATCGTGAGGACCGACTCGGCGGTCTCGGCCGAAGATTGTGGCACATGGTGGTGCGTCATACGGAAGCAGATTAGCGGCAACGAGATTAGGGGCGAGGGCGCGGTGAGATTACCTAACGCGCGCGTGCTTGGGCCTTGCATGCTCGACTGGGACTGACAGAGTGTGGGCCGAGCACATTGAGCTCATACTGGAGAAGCTAGGTGTGATGAATGCATGGTATTATAGCTAGTATACAACTGATCACGCCGCCGTCGCGACCGCCCTCGTGTCCACGGCCTGGTCCGGGGTTTCGACCTGCGTCGCGATCTCGTCCTTTGCGCGCGTTTCTCGCGCTTCCTCCTTAATCACGCCTGGATTCGCAGCGCTCCGTCCGCCATAGTACAGCCTGCTCGCGACCTCGGCCGTGACCCAGTCCATGGCGCCGTCGAGCCCCTCGCCCGTGATGGCCGAGCAAGGCAGAATGCGCCAGGTATGGCTCTCGATTCCGTCGAGGTGGAGCTGGTCGCGTACCTGCTCCATGGAGAGAGAGCCCGCCAGATCCTGCTTGTTCGCGAGCACGAGCAGCGTGCACCCCGCCAGGCGCTGTTCGGAGAGCAGCTGCCGCAGCTCGCTCGAGCAGTCGTCCAGCCGCAACGTGTCTGACGAGTCGGCGACCCACACCACCGCGTCAGTTGACTCGAAGTAGTTCCGCCAGTACGGGCGTAGCGTCCTCTGTCCGCCCACGTCCCACACGTTCAGCGTGTAGGTGTCCCCTGCGCCTTCGACTGGTGTCGGCGCCGAGCTCGAGCCGGCCGAAGCGGCGGCAGCGTTCGTCGCTCCCGCTGTCGACCCGATTGTGCGCACTAGCGTTGTGATGTTGAAGCCGAGTGTTGGCGAGACTTCGCGCACGTCGCCGCCCGTCAGGCGTTTCAGGATCGTCGTCTTCCCTGCGTTGTCGAGTCCGCTGCCGGTCAGCTGACGCTGCGGTAGTCGAAGCTTACAGAAACAGAACACGCATCTCGCGCGCCTTCGCCTTGTTCTTCCGGATGATCGTGAGCAGCCCTGGTATCAGCTTTACTCGAAGTGTGCAGCTTACCCATCGTGCCGAAGGGTGTTGTTGCTAGATGTCTCGATCACTGACGCTCGAGACGTACCTTTGCGGTGGAGGTCGATACGCGACGTTTACGTAACACACTGGCACACCGACAATGAAGAACTGTTGCAACAGGAGCAGAAAGTCACACATGCATATCCTCAACTGTACACAGCTGCAGTGCTAGATGATACCCAAGCCTATCAATGTCTTGTCTACGCTTTCCCCTCCCCTACTAATGCTAACTTAACAAACTTAAGCCTTCTCCTCCTCCTCCTTGACGTCGAGCTTGTTGATCTTGTCCGTCAATTCGGCCGCCTCCTGGGCCTCCTCCTTCTCGAGCTCCTCAAGCACGAGCTTGGCACCCTCGACAATGATCTGGTGCTCGACCTCGTGGATACGCTCCTCGAGCTGCTCGAGAGTCTCCTCCTTGCGGATCGGGATCTCGCGGACGACAAGGGGCTCTCCGCGGTCAACCTCGCGGATGACGCGGTGGACCATGACGCCAGTCTTCTCGATGTCTCCCTTTTGTCCAGCCTCGAAGGCACGGCCGATGGCGTTGGCGCCGTCGAAAGCGCCAGGAAGCGCCGGGTGAAGGTTGATGCACGGGATCGGGAAGTGCTGGTGGACGGGCGGCGGGGGCAGGCTCGGCCTCGTCTCGGACTGCTGCAGCTCGGAAGCCTTGACGTGGGACTTCTCAGCGTCAGCCGCGGCAGACGGGAGAGGCGGGGGAAGAGCAGGCTTGGCCGGGGGAGCGGCGCGGCCGTCGAGAATGTCGAGGAAGGCGTCGGACAGGATGTGCATCCATCCCGCGAGCACAACGAGGTCCGGCTTGCTCTCGAGGACGAGGCGGGCGACCTCGGCGTCGTAGTCTGTCCGCTCAGAGCCAGGGTTGCGGTTCAGGAAGGTCTTCAGCGCGCACACGGCTGTCGGGACCTGCGGCGAGTTGTTCTTCGCACGCTCAAGGCCGTACGCGTTCGAGCGCGAGGAGAGGACGAACGTCACCTGCGCATTCGGGAGGCGCTCGGTCAGCGAGGAGTCGAGGAGAGCCTGGAGGTTGGAGCCTGAGGTTAGCTTGGGTTGCGTAGGACAGCCCGCGAGAGTCCGGGAGGACAATGGGGAAGGCGGCGGAGGGTAGCGGGGAGGAGGACGGCATGAGAGGGCAGGTAGGGGGGATACGTACCACTGCCACTGATGAGCACGGTGATGCGGCGGACGCGCTTCTCGGGCTCGATCGTCTCGTGGAGAGTCGGCATGGCTGTTGATGGCTGAAGCGGCGGAGCAACTACAGAAGCCAACTGATACTGATTTTGAACATTTCCGTTTTCGCAAGATACCGAGTCCGCCAGAGGAGCGGCGGCTGGGACCTCCACTTCTGCCTGCCTCCACCAGCCAACTCTCGACCCTGGCATGAACTGAAAGACCAGATTAGAGCCCGCCTGGCACACAGATTTTGGCCCGAGTATGACGTGTATGGCAGCCCCATATTAAGCCATTTACAGCATGACTAATGCATCTAATACCAGGATAAACCCTACGATTAGAATTGTGATAAGGCTATTTGAACCAGGGCCTAGACCAGCTTACGCACAGCCAGCCAGTCTGGAGATCTCTGAACAGCTGCGACCGCGACTCAGTGAACGTCCAAAGACCTGTCTCGCGCTCGACAGCACGCACACCTCTACGCATAGCTCATAACCATATCTTCCGCCGAACCGTGTACGAATAGACGACAAAACAGGACCGCCTCTCAGCTCCGCTCTCGACTTCGGACTCCTCTGCATCGCCACTCCATCAATCAGCGCCCCCCTTCGGCCGACTCGGACTTCGACTAGCAACTGCTGCTCGTCTCTTGTTTGAGCTCGCGAGCGACCTACACCACTACTCTGCGCCTCTCTAGCTGCACAGCTCAGCAGCACAATGGGGCGCTCCAAGCCGCGCACGAATAAGCGGCCTCCGCCAAAGCCGAAAGTTTCCTCTGCGGCGACCTCCCGGCCGTCGTCCGGTGTCCCCTCTGATGTCGCCGAGGACATGTTCGCCAACTTCCCCGGAGCACTCGCGAGCCCAGGACTAGCGAGTGCCATGGGCCTGGGAGCCATGGGCGTGAACGCGAGTCTAGACCCGACAGACCCGAACTTCCCCTCCGCGTTCCAGAGCTGGTCGACGTCGGCGCTGTCCCAGCTCGGGCAGCTGCCGAGCCTGACGCCGAGCCAGCTGTCCGTCATTGCTGGCGCTGCGGCTGGAGTTGTTGACGCCGGTCTCAGGGCGAACGGACATGCGCCGCCCCTCGGAGCAGGTAACGGGGCGCAGGCCAATGTCTCCATGCTGCCGAATCTCCCGCCGTGGGGGCAAGGTCTGCCGATAGACCTGCCCGCAAGCTTAGCGGCGCTGTTCGAGGCCAAGCTCACACTCGACCGCGAGAAGGCAAAGCTCATGCGCATGCAGAAGGAGCTGAAGGGATATCGCGAGGGTGTCGCCGCCGTCAACCTCAAGGGGAAGCAGGTTGCCGTCCAGGATCCCGAAGACTTGGGCGAGTGTACATGTGGTCGCAACGGGTATGTCTTTTCACCACGGCCTCTGCCACCTCGAGCTGGGAAGCAGGAGATGAAGCTAACCGACAGACATGCACACGAGTACCCCGGTTCAGCTCACTCGGGCTCAGACGAGTACTACTACTACGACACGGAGGACGAGGAGTGCTGCGATTGCTGCTCGCACGACCACGAGCACGACCACGAGCACGTCCACGACCACGACCATGCGCATGTGCACGACGACGCGGCATACGACGACTGCCACCACCACCATCACCACCTGGAGCACGACCACCCGCATCACGAGCACGAGCACACGCATGAGGGCGAGGTCGACTCAGATCCGGACGAGTACGAACGGCACGCGGCGCATGCAGACGCCCTCGAGCGGCAGAGACTGGAGAGGCACGCCGAGCGGCTCCGGCATGCGCAGCACGCACAGCACGCACAGCTGGACCGGGCGGAGCGCGAGCGGCTGCAGCACGACGCGTACGCCGCTGCCATGTCTGTGGCGGAGCGGGTTGCGTTCGAGAAACACAACCTGGCGCAAGCCCAAGCTCAGGCGCAGGCGCAGGCGCAGCAGCTCTCACAAGCGCAAAATCAGCAGTCGCAGCAGACTGCAGAGCGAGGAGGTGGGGGAGGGGGTGAGGCGAAGGGGGACGGAAGGGGGAGAAGTGCC